AGTTAAATGGGTTATAGCTATAGGGACACTGATAATAACACCACTGTAGATTATCTAACATTTGTTATCACTATAACTTTGAGGTGAGATCTATCAACAACGTTAAAGCGAGTCATTATTAGGTAGCTCAAGTGTTAAAAACATTCACAGCTGTTCAAGCTTAATAATCAATAGAAACGTGTAAACTTGGGAATTCTAAATAGATAAATATTGAAATATGAGTTTTCAAGAATGGACAATGCAAGCATGTTTTGAGCCACTTGACAATCACACAATTAAACAGGACCTTGTCACCATAATGACCATATATACTGTATATATCTACAATATACATACTAAAATAATATACATCTATGCATGTATAATATATATATATGAGTTATGCAGAATTTAATTAAATCAGTTATATAATTGTGTTATCTATATATTATGACATAAAAAACTGTTTAATGAAACATTTACTAGCTAAAATGGTTTTTCATCACTTGACACTAAATTAAAAATGACTGATTGTTTTGCCTAGTTTTATGTATAACCACTGAATCCGTTAGCAAAGAATTATGTTATTTATTAGCTCAAAATGATAAAAAATAAAAGAATATCTCGCAAATTTCATTTAAATTATTGCTGTATTTCCTAGGGCATGTACATGTCGGAACAGGCTGAGGTAAAATTTAGGTAGAAAAAATATGGCTCGAAATTTGTACATTAAACATTAAGAAGCACATTTCATGCCCTAGCCTCTCGTTGACCCACATACCATACTTGTTTATCTACTGATATTGATGCATTATATAAACTTATGGAATGTTACCCAAATGCCTCTAAATTTGCATGTACAAGTACATTGTATAATAATCATGATGGTGATTATTTTCTTCATCCAGATTTCTTTCAAAACCTCAAGCTCATCAAAATCAGAATATCCTTATTATTATGGTATATCTATTTACATATTCTCATTTCTATAATGTGTCATTAAAACATACATTGTTTTTATGGAAACTCCATTTACATTTGTGTTCCTCATTTGTCTCTATATATAGCTATATAAAGCTAGATAACATATATTGGTAATGATTTTGATTAGTTTGGTACCGAAACCATTGTTTGCCAATCTTAAACTAGCAGTATCATTGATTTCTGTGGTAACGTACAATGTATATTTACACAAACTATATGACGACAACTTCATGTTCATCATACAAACGATAATGGAGAGTTAACACTGCGTCAAGAAATATACAATTTGCTTTAAGGGTCCCTTTTCCACTGATCATGAGCTTTTAGGCAAAACACCAGAGCATGCCACTAAACCCGGGTACGCATGCATTCTCCACAGGTAAAAAAAAGATAAATATCTTTCAAGGATTTCTACAGATTTTTTCTACATTTATCCTCCCACATCTGTAGTTTTTTCAGTGCAAAACCATGGAATTTTGCAGAAAGTTGGGACTTTATAATTTCTTATTTTTTCTTCAACATTTTGTGGACTAAGCATTTTTCTTCTTTGGATGAGGAATGTTATAACCTAGTGGAAAGTTTCTTAGCAGGGCAACTAAAATTACTTCTGGATACCACCTGTCAGTGAGGTTAGCAGTAACTAGCAAGGTTACTAGCCCAATTTATTGTTCATACTTCACTATAACCCAATATATATCTTATTCAACCAGTTAATGTGTTACAAATATCAAATGTTGGCTAATCATATATATATATGGGGCTAGCTGTTTTCTAAGAATTTAAGAACTTGAATTTCTTGTCAGGGTATCAATCTCATTATTTGAATGAGGTTAAAACCTGTGTACTTTTTTGATGAACTTGGCACAGACAATTTTTAATCAAAATTTGTAATAGCAGCTGGCTTATAATAAGAAACTGATTAAGGTTAAACTCTCTATACTTTCTGTCAAACTATCGGTCTCATCATATAATAGACATATATGTATGCTGTTTCATCTGTTTAGGTCCTGTTGTCTAGTATATATATACTGGTATAGCAATTTCCTTTTGCAAAATAGACTTGCCATTCCAAGCAAAGAAATAATTCTGCATACCTGGTATATATGCATTCTATGTATAATAGTCCATGCCAGTACAAGCTTTATATTAAAAAAAGATGTCAATAAATCAATGGGCAAAATATTCAAAATTTAACCTACATGTACAAGCTTATATTAAATGGTCCAATGAATAAATAAAAAGAACTCTAAAGAATTCTAATCTAATTATTAAATGATACATTGTATGATGTATTGATCATGAAAATGATTTACGATACAAAAAAGGTCATATGTTTACTGTGTACAAGATATATATACTACCTGAGATTACTAGTTAATTATTGTATTGTTATATTTCAATTACATCACAAATAACATTGTATCGAACGATTATACAATGTATAAAGATCCAATTTAAAAGGTCATCTCCCGTTCAAGTATGTGTACATTGTATGTATACACAGTGTGTAAATAGGATTAATCGAGTCAGTACGCTCGGACAATGGATTACATTAAGTTTACGGGATTATATAGAAACATATGGCTTCACACACCGATACACTTCATTTTCATTGGCCTTGGGCCCAAAGAAGGGTTCCCTTTACGTATCATATATAGTATAGATTTGATTGACTAAATTTATCGTGTATATCTACATACCCTGGTACATTATGAGAATACTCAGAAGATCTGGATAAATAAATAAACTTGACGACAGAGTTGCTAGCGCTTTCGCTCATTTAAGGTTTCATCAGCAATTTATCCTTGAACTTCTAGTTTGTTAATTTCTGTTTTCTCTTCATTGTACCGATCATGCACTCGGACACTATACAAAGTTTATAAAAATTTGAAGTAAAAAATATATATGTCGTTAATAAAGTGAATGCATGACTAACCAATATAATTTACAATTTAAGTCATTGTACATCAAATGTTGTACACAACTGCAAGTCAAAGGTATCACTTTTCAGAGTGTTGTTATGCATACACAAACTGTATCAAAGCATATATTTGTATTGGATTAGTTCATTCCCAGATCAAACTTTTCATCAAAACTGTCTCCCCGACAAATTAAGACAGGACTTAATTTTAGCTAGTGCATGCATGAATTATATGATATAAATGAGTCGACCAACTGAACGAGTTTCCTAGTTACAATAAATTAAACTGTACTATATATGTACAGATACAATTTGTTTGGTTTGTTTTTCATTTACGTCACATTAACAGCTATGATCAAAATTGGTCATTTAAGGACGAGCCAGGTTTGGTGGTGGAGGAAAAACTGGAGTTACCTGGAGAAAAACCATCAACTTGCACAGTGATCAATCTACAATTAGTTTGTATGGGTCTTTTTCCGGGCCCCTGTATGGTTAAAAGATATGGGTCCATATACTGTTAAAATTCAGTATTTTCAGAAATTCTATGGGTCAAATCAAAATTCCATGGATACATACAGGACCCAGGACTCGCATGTAGATATTATATTATCACTGCTTGCAACCAGCACCTGGCGACTGACCCAGTCACCCACGTATAAACGTAGGCCTCAAATTAAACCCTTGACCCAGTGGTGGAGGGCTAGCTATTGATCTTAGATCTAGACTGACGTCAGAATCGAAGCGATTAACTACTCGGCCGCTTCGACCTCCAGATATATATATAGATCATCATCTACATTGCATGTATACATGCACGGTTGCACATGTACTGCAGGTACTTGTGGTAGAAAACATATTTGTGAAATTTTAACTGAGTAAATCTTTCTGAATGCTTTTATGCTGTCATCTTATTATAGCTATAACACTGCAGTGTTTTTGCAAGACATTAATCTTGGGGGTAAAAGTCAAGCATAAATCGTGTATTTTGACCCATTTATATGGCAAGTCTTTAACATTCTAAGGGTCAAAAGTCATTTTCAGAGGTCATTTATCCTCATACCGGGGTTAACGGTCTGTATACTGTATAATGGCCATTGCTCTACAATTCATTCATTAACCTATATATATAATTATAATAAGTGCCCATATATATGACTAAGTTTAAAATTCTGGTAATAATCATGATCACCGAAACATAAAAGTAGATTATTTTGTTATACACATGTGATCAGTTCAATTAATTTGGTATTGTAAATTATATCGGTAATTATTAGTAAACTTTAACATATTGGACAACAAAAATACATACACTGTATACACAAGAATGTCCCATGAACACCTACATGCACAGTTAGTCCGAATTAATCTGACGTTTTATCGACTTTTTTTATATCGGTCTGTCGTCGATTAACGTCAGAACTCCGGCCCTCTATATTAAATGCGGGAAATAAGCAGCCCACGCCCGGGTCGCACTTCAAACTGATATTTTAGAAACAAATCGTCACTTTCACACACATGTCACAGATGGATCGAAAGCAGTGATAATCTATTCTTAATACCGTATTGCCCATTGTATATAAAATTTAAGCAGCAAAAATCTAGTAACAATAAACTTATTTTATGACTACAAATTTACATTATACATTTAGTTATGGACATGCATACAAATGACCATTCATATTAAACATGCACATATATACATGACATGTATATACATTTCAAGGTAATTAGCTATTAAGTGGTGAAGAAAAGTCCAGGTATATGTATAACGTATAGTATATGATTATGTAATACAGCATTTAGGTTTAATACCATGGTGTAGAACTAATGCACTACACAATATACTTAAGTTTAATTAGAATACACTTATCTCTTAATATATATAAACATGTATCAAACTGTTTGTATATATATATATCACTTATTTCATACACACGCACTTCAAACTGATATATAATAGGTGTACATCATTTGAAGTAATCTAAGAACCCTGAATCCTCTCCTATTTAGCCCTGTGCTGTTCGGAAATATGTTCCATTGATAACTGAGATATATTCAATCATATACAAGTTTTGTACGCGTAATTGTACATTTATTCAGAATCAATATAACTTACCCTGAGAGATTCATTTTCAGTTTGTAACTTAGATCTATCTGAAGTCAGTTCTTTGTTTTTATTTTCCAACTGTTCCAGTTGTGTTTCTAATTCTGCTTCTAGTTCTCGACTGCTGATCTGGAATTCTTCAAGCTCTTCCCTGCCATCTTCCAGACTGAAAGAAAACAAGCGGTGTTCATTGTTGAAAATAATGTTTTGCTTTTATTACAGTTGATTTTTTTCTCAGGCACAAATATAACATTCAAGGGGGTTGAATTAATAGACCTTCATATATGTACAATTGCGGTAAATAGTTTTGAACGTCTATGTGATGGTAAAATTACATATAAAACAAAACACAAAGATTACATTTAGCTAGCGCTTTTGTCCATCTTGGGGCTACTGAAGAGACCCAAGATGGGTGAAAGCGCTAGGGAAATGTAGCCTTCAGGTTTTGTTTTATTTATATATATATAATTGTATAGACTGGTACTTAAGCTTTGACATATATATATATATTTCACCTTCTCGTCAAATTACAATATGATAACTAATCTATCTTACCATAAAAATAACCTTCATAAAATATTTATGACATGCATGCATGTCTTCAGATAAATATATATGTATACTTATAAGAAGTGGCTGTTATCTATCTGAATAAAGGTCTAGATATAGAGCACAAATTAAAGCAATATAAACTTTGGTGATCACAAATATATTTTTGCTGACTTACAATGCAATTATACATTGAAAAATTCTGCTGCTCATCTATATAGCCTTAAGCTTGTTGGAATAATAGTACATCTTAACTTTTTGTACGAGTTGGGTCTCCACTGATGCAGCAAAGAAAGTACATTGTGTATCTAAGTTACGTACTTAACTGGCATTGGTTTTCCGAATTTCAACATCAACTGACAAGAACACTACAAAATGAGCAGACCTAATTATAACACGACATGGTCAATGGACGTACGATCAATCATCATTTTAAATCTGAAACCCTTGAATTCTAGATGAATATTGTAACAGGAGCGAAAAAATGCATGGCCAGACCGAGGTTTGAACCCAGGACCCTCTGTACTCTTAGACAGACGCTATACCAATGTTGACGGACCAGGTCACTGATGATCGACCCAGTCCATGTCTGCTTGACTCTTCAATTCCTACCCTTTTTTACGTCTTCACTTCTAGGATATCACTATTTACAACCCAGGTTCAGATATATATTCCCTCGTCAGTACTTGAAACAAAGGTTGGTCATGTACAGGCATACAAATGCAAAAGGAACAGGAAAATGCACGACCTGGACCCTTTGAAGTCTGGGACAGGTACAGAACATCTCATTCTGATGGTAGATATTAGCAGATTTGTTTTCCATTCCTAGAACAGGTTATTTGTGACAGGCTCAGATCCCTTAAGTTTACGCTCTACCGCTGATTAGCTAAATATAAAGAGAAATTCCCTCTAGCACAAAGCTAGAGGCGACTGTTTAATATTGAAACATCACAATGCATGGTTGCCACCAAATAAACTGTAGAATGCATTATATTATTTTTATGTGTGCACCATCTAGATCTACTTACTCATGTTTAAAACGCTCTGCCGTCTGTCGCCAGAATATAATCTCCTCCTGTGGAGTTGTAAACCTTTTACTATCGTCCATTTTGTATTTAATAGTTTTAATCTGTTAAAATATCAATAACACTTATTACATTATATCATTCTCTGTTATCGGTTATCAACAAAACCGTTAGCTGTCAAAATCACAACAATCGATGAACCACTATATTGAAGATATTTAGCCGTTCATCTTTTCAAACAATATACAAATATTAGGTGTAGGAATCCCTTTCCTAGAGAAATGTTGATATAGACACGGAGTTTGGCGAGAAGGAGTGCCTAATCCGAGAACTTGAACACAGGGTTGTGACGATTTTGACTGATGCTGAGCTTGGATGCCCAACACCAAAGCACTTTCTCACCGAACCGTGAAAATTTAACGACCATGAATTCACATATATCAAATGACATATTCACATTTTGGTAAAACACAAAGTAAACGTTTCACTCCTGGCTGAGATGTAAAGAAATATCACGTTTCCTTCGGACAGCCCCCTAGCTGTTTTATTTCTTTCCGCCCGGAAGTGCATACATGTACAAAAAGAGGAAAATCGGAATCAGGTAAATGTTTGAATAGTTGACTAAGGGCGGGAAATTCAAACATATGAATCGGAAGTTCCACAAGAATATCAGGGTAGGGAGGACCATAGACCTAAATGAAGAGGACATAGAAACTAAAGAATGAAGGCATACTTTGGGCACGGACTTAGATAACTTCCGGTTCATATGTTTCCACTACGAGAAATTCTTTCATAGACTATGTCAATCCGCCTGAACATTATAATCTGTGTTCTGTATTCCGTTTGAGATCTACACTCAATGGATTGTAACCATTCCGCATTACCGATGTATCAAGTGCTTATATATTTTTTATATGGTTTTTCATTTTTTAAATTCATTAAAAATTACATCTTTTATTTAATTATCTAATTCCGTGCTTTGGGTCATCTTTTGAAAACAATGTTTGTTCAGTTTTCCTACTCATTTTTATGTGGGTAGGAAGGTTGATTATTTTTCTTGTATTTCTAAAAATCTATATTTCTTTATAAAAACCTTACTAAATTTCAGTGATTTTTCAGCAAGAAAAATAAAATACCAAAAGTATTAAAATAAATAGAGACGCTATTTTCAGTGAGTAAGTCAGGACCGCAAACAAACAATTCCTGAGGATGACCCGGAGTAGCTTGCATGAATGCGTGGGGTGAAAAACACAAATAAAAACACTATAAGGTATATTTCGTATTTTGAACTAAACCTTTACATGTGCTTTAAACATGTTTTATTGCCAATTATATTGAACAAGGCCGGATTGGGCAAAAGCTATAACAACTAGATCACAGCCTATACTAAACCTATGCAAAACATTATGGATAAAGTACATTTAAAAATGTAAACACGAATTCAGTATGTCATTTACACTAAGTAAAAATAAACACCTTGCAAAATTATTTGTAGGCACGTGCCTACTGACTCGAGTCTATATAAGACATCTCTACGCTACAAGGAGATCTTTTAACGGACGTTACAATGGTGCTACGCATTTATCAGAGTGATCGTTCAACGGGAAGCAACTCTTAGTTTTGTCATGCCGCCAATTCTCCCAATTGCATGTCACGGATAAGATGGCGAGATGTACGAACCAAATGATGTAGAGTGCCTACTTAAGATTTTGTAGAAACTAGGATTGTTAAACGAATTATAAAAGTCAGCATTCAGTCTGCAAAATATGAATCTTAAACGGCCCTGTTGAAAACTTATGGAATAATTCTACGGTGTTTGGCGCATTGAGGATCTACCTGATATTTCTGTGGATTTTTTGAGAATCGATTTTGCATTGTTTAATGGGTTTTCTGAGAGCGACCGATAGGGAATTCCCATTATCTTTGTTTGTCTATTATACGAAATTATCTGTACGTTTATTATAAGACTGTTTTAATGTCTGTTGTGTGTTTGTCTACACAATTAGCGCAATTTTGTGACTGCATTTGTTTTTTTATAAATCTCACCCTAACACAAGTGTCACCTAGACAAAAATTACACTCTCACCCTAGTCACACCGAGACAAAAATTACACTCTGACCCTAGTCACACATAGACAAAAATAACAAACTTTAGACCCTAGTCACACATTGACAAAAATTACACTCTAACCATTAGTCACACCTACCCAAAAATACACTCTGACCCAATAGTCACACATTGACAAAAAATACACTCTGGTCCTAGTCACACCTAGACAAAATTACACTCTGACCCTAGTCACACCTAGACAAAAATTACACTCTGACCCTAGTCACACATAGACAAAAATTACACTCTGACCCTAGTCACATCTAGACAAAAAATACACTCTAACCATTAGTCACACCTAGACGAAAAATTACACTCTGACCCTAGTCACATCTAGACAAAAATTACACTCTGACACAAATCAGACTCTGAATCACATCATACCCTAACCCATTCACACTCTGACACAAGTCAAACCTTGACGCGTGCAGACATTCTATAACAAACCACATCCTGACAAACCAGAAGAAACAAAAATAAAAAACACCAGTCAAAATATGGCATAAAAAGACAGTTAGATTTTAAAAGATGTTTTCGCCTTCATATGATAGTAAACACTATACTTAAGTGACATACATATGTACAATACATCTTACTAGAAATAGTTCAGAGTTTCCTTGATTATAATTGAACAGCCAATATACAATTTAATGACAAACTAAATGATGGTGCAGTATGCTAAGATACAATATACAGTAAAAGTAATCAATAGTATAGGAGCAAACTTAACTTCGTATCTATATTGAACCTTGTAAGGCTCACGTGCTTGTGCAGTAGAAAAACACACTGTAGTGCACTTCACTGCACTATGCACTGTGATATGTCCAGTGCACAATGTTGTGAACTCCACTGCAGTACATTGTACGTAACCGTAACTCTAGTGCACTACATTGTTAACTCTAGTGCACTACACTGTAAACTACACTGTTAACTCTAGTGCACTACACTGTTAACTCTAGTACACTACACTGTAAACTCTAGTGCACTACACTGTTAACTCTAGTTCACTACATTGTTAACTCTAGTGCACTAAACTGTTAACTCTAGTGCACTACATTGTAAACTCTAGTGCACTACACTGTTAACTCTAGGGCACTACATTGTTAACTCTAGTGCACTACACTGTTAGCTCTAGTGCACTACATTGTTAACTCTAGGGCACTACACTGTTAACTCTAGTGCACTACATTGTAAACTCTAGTGCACTACACTGTTAACTCTAGTACACTACGCTGTAAACTCTAGTGCACTACACTGTTAACTCTAGTGCACTACATTGTTAACTCTAGTGCACTACACTGTTAACTCTAGTGACTACACTGTTAACTCTAGTGCACTACATTGTTAGCTCTAGTGCATTACATTAGTAACTCTAGTGTACTACATTGTTAATTTTAGTACACTATACTGTTAACTCTAGTGCACTACACTGTAAACTACACTGTTAACTCTAGTGCACTACATTGTTAGCTCTAGTGCACTACACTGTTAACTCTAGTGACTACACTGTTAGCTCTAGTGCATTACATTAGTAACTCTAGGGCATTACATTAGTAACTCTAGTGTACTACATTGTTAACTCAAGTTCACTACACTGTTAACTCTAGTAAACTACACTGTTAGCTCTAGTGCATTACATTAGTAACTCTAGTGCACTACAATGTTAACTATAGTGCATTAAACTGTTAACTCTAGTGCACTACACTGTTAACTCTAGTGCACTTCATTGTTAACTCTAGTACACTAGATTGTTAACTCTAGTTCACTACACTGTTAACTCTAAGGCACTACATTGTTAACTCCAGTACACTTCATTGTTAACTCTAGTGCACTACACTATTAACTCTAGTACACTACACTGTTAACTCTAGTGCACTACACTGTTAACTCTAGTGCACTACACTGTTAACTCTAGTACACTACATTGTTAACTCTAGTGCACTACAATGTTAACTCTAGTGCACTTCATTGTTAACTCTAGTACACTACATTGTTAACTCTAGTTCACTACACTGTTAACTTTAGTGCACTACACTGTTAACTAGTGCACTACACTGTTAACTCTAGTGCACTTCATTGTTAACTTTAGTGTATTAAACTGTTAACTCTAGTGCACTACACTGTTAATTCTAGTGCACTACATTGCTTACTCTAGTGCACTACACTGTTAACTCTAGTGACTACACTGTTAACTCTAGTACACTACACTGTTAGCTCTAGTGCACTACAATGTTAACTCTAGTGCATTAAACTGTTAACTCTAGTGCACTACACTGTTAACTCTAGTGCACTTCATTGTTAACTCTAGTGCATTAAACTGTTAACTCTAGTGCACTACACTGTTAATTATAGTGCACTACATTGCTTATTCTAGTGCACTACGTTGTTAACTCTAGTTCACTACAATGTTAATTTTAGTAGACTACACTGTTAACTCTAGTGCACTACACTGTTGACTTAAGTGCGCTACACTGTTAACTCTTTTTAACTCTAGTGCACTACACTGTAAACTACACTGTTAACTCTAGTGCACTACACTGTTAATTCTAGTGCATTACGGTGTTAACTCTAGTGCACTACACTGTTAACTCTAGTGCACTAAACTGTTAACTCCAATGCATTACACTGTTAACTCTAGTGCATGACACTGTTAACTCTAAGGCACTACACTCTTAACTCTAGTGAACTACACTGTTAACTCTAGTGCATTACACTTCTAACTCTAGTGCACTACACTGTTAAGTCTAGTGCACTATACTGTTAACTCTAGTGCACTTCACTGTTACCAATAGTGCACTACACTGTTGGCCCTATTTAACTACATTGCTAACTCTAGTGCACTACACTGTTAACTCTCGTTACCTCTAGTGCACTACACTGTTTGCCCTAATTAACTTCATTGCTAATTCTAGTACACTATACTGTTGACTCTAGTGCACTACACTGTTAACTCTTGTTAACTACATTGCTAACTCTAGTGCACTACACTGTAAACTACACTGTTAAATCTAGTGCACTACACTGTAAGCCCTAGTGCACTTCGGTGTTAACTCTAGTGCACTACACTGTTAACTCTAGTGCACTACACTGTTTGCCCTAGTTAACTACATTGCTTACTTTAGTGCAATACACTGTTAATTTAAGTGCACTTTACTGTTAGCTCTAGTGCACTACACTGTTAACTCTAGTGCACTACACTGTTTGCCCTAGTTAACTACATTGCTAACTATAGTGCACTACACTGTTAACTTTAGTGCTCTATACTGTTAACTCTAGTGCACTACACTGTTAAATCTAGTTAACTACATTGTTAACTCTAGTTCACTACATTGTTAACTCTAGTGCACTACACTGTTCGCCCTAGTTCACTACACTGTTAACTATAATGCACTACAGTGTTAACTCTAGTTCACTTAACTGTTAACTTCAATGCACTACACGTTTAACTCTAGTGCATTACACTGTTAAATCTAGTGCACTACACTGTTAACTCTAGTGTACGTACTACACTGTTAACTCTAGTGCACTACACTGTTACCTCTAGTGCACTACACTGTTTGCCCTAGTTAACTTCATTGCCAACTCGAGTGCACTACGATGTTGATTTAAGTGCACTACACTGTTAACTCTTGTTAACTCTAGTGCACTTCACTGTTACATCTAGTGCACTACACTGTTTGCCTTGGTTAACTACATTGCTAACTCTAGTGCACTACACTGTTGACCTAAGTGCGCTACACTGTTAACTCTTTTTAACTCTAGTGCACTTCACTGTAAACTACACTGTTAACTCTAGTGCACTACACTGTTAACTCTAGTGCACTACACTGTTAGCCCTAGTTCACTACACTGTTAACTCTAGTGCATTACGGTGTTAACTCCAATGCACTACACTGTTAACTCTAGTGCATTACACTGTTAACTCTAGTGCACTACACTGTTAACTCTAATGAACTACACTGTTAACTCTAGCGCATTTCACTGTTAACTCTAGTGAACTACACTGTTAACTCTAGTGCATTACACTGTTAACTCTAGTGCACTACACTGTTAACTCTAGTTCACTACACTGTTAACTCTAGTGCACTACACTGTTAACTGCAGTGCACTACGTTGTACGTACATTTGTAACCGTTATTCCAGTACACTACACTGTTAACTGCAATGCACTATAGTATTTACATGAGTTTAATAGACTATTCAAAAGACATATTCCAGTTATTGTTTACAATGAACTGGTTATGAAACTCAAATGATTAAGAAAAATAATTAATTGAGTGATACGCAATATTAATATATTTTTCTGGTTATTTAAATTTTCAACTGGACATATATATCTAAACAAGAAAAAATAGTGTACAGTTAGATGCATTAATAGCATAAGTCAAATTGAAACATTCGTAGTTTTCATTGTTGATCATGTTAAGTTATATAATGTTTTAGTCCAGGATTTCCCGTATCGGAGCCATACTTTATTTATGGTTTTTTTTCATGTTGGTAAGTAGAAATGATTTGTCTGATGAAGGTGACAGAGTACCTAGCTTCCGTACTAGTCATCGAAACGTCACACATCATGAAACACTTACTGGTTGTGATACATAAACCTTTCTACAAGTCATACTTTATGGTTATCTTGACTGAAAATTGCACATGTGGTAAAAGTTCGAGTTAGATTTCATAAATACATATATTTCTTTGTTATGATGATATTTTCGAAGCTAGCGTTTTATCTTATTTAGGTTTCTATTTGAAATATTCTTGATAGTTTTAATCATATGTCCGATAACAACAACAACAACAACAAAAAATCGGACATAGAAGCTACGGTTCCCGCAGTTAGTAAAAGTGATACACACGTATTTCCAAACTGATGAATCTTATTTAAAAGTAAGAGCTAGAGTTAACTATATCACGGAATTAGATCAGATCTAAGTCCGTGATATAATTGAGTACATTTTTTTTGTTACCGTTCAAATTTAGACGCAAAATACAGTACGGTCGTTGTTATACGAAACAAATGTTGCAATTAGATATATTTTGTATTGGTAATATTTTGATAATTTCATTGACAACATTTGATACAGATGATCGGTTTTGTGATAATGTAATAAAATATTTGTGTATGTGAAAATGTATTATTATAATAGATTAAGATACACTATCATTGTTTAAATAGTAAATCGCGCACGGGCTATTATATATACATTTATGGTCATTTTATTTCATTTACTTTGTTTTATGACATTATATCCAGAACATTTCTTTCTACATACTGTATTATCCAGAAAAAAAAGTTCTCGATAGAACATACTAAAATAAATAGGGAAATGAAAAAAGAAATCACTTATCGCGTTAAAATCAAAATAAACCACTCAAAAAGAAAGTAGTTCCATTAAAAAATTACCAACTCAATCTTTAAACAATTCCAAACAAATTACTCAAAACAATATAATTGTGCTGAAAAGCTTAAACAATGTATATGATACCACCGAATTATATTTTTTTAGCTATCTAAGTTCATGATGATACCTACTTTTTATATCTAATTTGTTATTTTATATGTTTAATATCTGTACACTGCATAAAATCATATGTATTTTAGGATAGGTTTATCACAAATAAATATTGTAACGATTTAATAAAGACTGAACTAAAAAAGGTTTTTACTAATTTGTTTGTCATAATTATATATTTAGTATGGGAAAATAGCACACCATCGTAAAGTCAAACAAATTATGTCGTGTCTCCTAAAATGTTTTCCTGAGTTATCTTTCTTGTATCAAGGCAACCTAAAATTATTGCGCGTATGATAATTTCAGAAGCTTTGATTTAAATAAATACCACTAATAACTAATAAATCCCTATTTTGTACCTATAGACACACAGTTCGAAGAAAAACCCGACAGATATTGTTTACTGTAGAAATTAATCACAAACTATACTCTGCCCAAGGATATTTATAGTATATCGTGATTAGGTTATAAACAACATGGCGGTCATAACAAGAGTTCCACCGAAAAATCTATGGGATGAAATTGTCAAAGGTATTTTGTAATATTATATGACTGAGCAGACGTTATCTCTTTATATTTTTAAGCTCGTGATTGAAATATACTCGAAATTTCTTTACAAAACTGTCTCTAAAATGATTCATTTCACAGATTGAGATCTAAAAATACACGCATGGTTTTGTTGACATTGATTTTATGCCACTTGTTAAAAGTTAAGATATGTTAGGGCCAGGAGGGTGGTACATTTTAGGCCGATACGAAGATAGAAATAAGTCTACCACAGTATATATATCTTGACCGACATGCTAACCAAGGCCATGTCATTTACATGGGGATAGCTAGCTAGGCTATCATAATAATTAAATTTTAGACGATTCACTCAGTAGTGGCAAGTGTTACAATTCAGCCACATACATAACATGTCCAGTACACTCTGCCGATTAAACCATATAGCTATATACACCTATAAATTATAGCTGTATTGAACTGTATTTTCTCATATTTTAATTTTCATTAAATTCAAGCAAAGTCGCATAAAACAATAAGGTTTATGGTAATGTTGACTACAAAAAGCATAGTTTTGAGGTGTTTATTTTCATTTTTCATAAAAAATATGTTAAAATTTCCGGTTTTTTACATCATTATTTTTTAAAAAGAATACTTATATTTAATGTCTTTTGTTATCAACCTAATGATACAATCTTGTTTTAAAAGCGACTTTGTTTCGTTTTCCTTAAAAAAGAAAATCACTTGAAAATAGCTCAAAAGACCTATTTTAGATAGGTCAATAGAGCTATTAAAGGTCTTTACAGCTATATATATAGCTCAATCGGCAGAGTGTACTGGACCTGCGTAAAACACATATATATACCGTTTGCTTACTTTTTTTGTGTCGTCGTTTGATGATCCCCTAACTTCGGTGATAAAACGTTCCCCGATTCCCCAATACATTGTATCACACAGAATGAGTTGGACTATGAGTTTTCCCATGGATGTACGTTTTCTCAATCGATAATTAGCAATAAACTATTAACTGACAAAACATATTCTGTAGTTTACATAATTTCAATTCCTAACGAAAAAGGGAAACGGCCCTAATTACAAGGAATACAGTTATGATTTAATTTTATGAGTATAAAACTTATAAAGTTGCAGGTCATACATGTTTGCCTTGTACTATCTTACAATCAATTATTGTTTTTTTCTTTCAGAGTTCGCTTCTCACAAACCACCTTTCAGGGAAGATGACGACATGTCAGTACGGACAGATTACATTGACTATAACCCAGCCAAGCATAATCCAGTGTTTTACGGCAAGATGCATGAGCGTGTTACAACAGATAATGATCCTATGAAAGATTTTAACCCAGCTACAACTCATCCCTCGTGTGTCGGGTTCGCCTTTACGGAGAAACCTCCGGAATCTCCGCCTCCTCCTCCAACACCTCCACCGCCAAAGGAAAAATGTGAATTTCTGTGTGGTTTAGTTCAAGATTACTGATAGATTTAAGTTAAGATAAAGAGATGATACCCCTAAAATCTGGTCTTACTGAAACTGTGCAAAATACAATTACCTGGTAATGTCTTGAGTCCATGTCGTGTAATTTTGAAAATATTTAAAGGCAAACCTTACGGTTGAATTCAAATCCTTCATTTATTCAGTGAATTACACAAAAGCAGATATATTGTGATATTAATCATTGTAATAAACTGTTTATTTTGAATTGCACATGATGACAGAGATATAGATACAAATTGAAATCTGTACAGTGAAAATTGAATGTCTTTTTTATGGTATGCCAAAATATTGTTTTTTAGAAAAAACACAAAAAATAAGCCAGTAGAAATGCTACATTTTATCTTTATTGCTTTTAATCACAAGACTAGCCTTTTTTTCATTATTTGATATGTCAGGTGAAAAATGTCATAACCTATTGTCATAATGATGCTTTTAAATAGACACATGCAGAAAAATAATTGCTGATATTTTATGAAATATAGCTACAGTGTATATATAGATACTACCATTTGACCTAAATAATTGTCCTAGGTACATTTATAAAGCAAATATTGGAAAAAATTTAATCGATGGTACAACAATTCAAAATTTTCCATTTGGTGGTCAAAATATAAAACTATAAAATAAAAAAAGGAAGGATCGGGCACTTGATAAATTGAATATGGTATAATATTGTGTATTTTCTTTTTGCAGGTAATCCCAGAGAGTATTTAGAACATTATGTATTTCCGATCCTGCTACCAGCTCTTGAAGAAATGCTGAGACAAGCAAAGAAAGAAAAATGTTTGGAGGTACGATAAGTATATAAAATATATGTAATTAAAATGTCTAATTGATATATGGGTTGGATATGTAATTGATTTTTCTAAAAAAAAAAAATGCAAAGTCACCCTGAGGCTAAAAATAAAATAAAAGATTATCTGAGCATTTCAGTTTTGTACGGGGAATGTATGGTTGTAGGTTGAGCCGAAATATGTGTAAACTGTTACTTTATCCGTTCATCGATCAGTTTGTGTGACTTTTATGAAAAATAATAAAGATGAAATAAACAAGATACATGATAAGTATCTTCAACAGCAGGCTTCTGAGTGTAAAAAAGGACTAGACCAGGGTTCAAACCCTGGACTTAAAATTGTTATACTATTGCTCTATCTGACTAAGCTACTTGGTGAATAGAAGTGTCCTAGCCCAACTGTGCTACAGTCGTATATATATATATAGCCAAACAAAACTAAGGGGAGGTAACAATATGTATTAAAAACCTGAGTGCAGTCGGACACATCCTCATACTCCAGGGGTTACACTCACTTGCAGTAGGTAGACAGGATCGTACCAGATCATATTCCTTCTGTGCTACAGTCGTATATATATATATAGCCAAACAAAACTAAGGGGAGGTAACAATATATATGAAAAACCTGAGTGCAGTCAGACACATCCTCGATACTCCAGGGGTTACACTCACTTACAGTAGGTAGACAGGATCGTACCGGATCATATTCCTTCTGTGCTACAGTCGTATATATATATATATAGCCAAACAAAACAAAGGGGAGGTAACAATATATATGAAAAACCTGAGTGCAGTCAGACACATCCTCGATTCTCCAGGGGTTACACTCACTTACAGTTGGTAGACAGGATCGTACCGGATCATATTCCTTCGAAGATGAGTTGGACAGGGATCCTTAAGTTACAGATAGATATTTTGACTGTTTGGTACGTACTAATGTACTCATTTCCATAGTTGTTTATTTTTGAAAATGATAAGAAGTAGAAATATCAAAAATATTTTTTTTTCCGTAAGATAAGATTCTCATATCCTGGTCAATATATTCTGACAGCTTTGTATACTTTGACATTTATTATTTCCACAGAGGAAGAGAACAAAGTTCAACGCTTTAGATTTCCTCACAGAATATTTATATAAGTAAGTATCAAAAGAGGTAACTTCATACATGTATTGTGTATATATATGTTTTTACACCCCCGCCATAAAATGGGGGGCATATAGTGTTACCGATATCCGTCCCGTCCAGTCCCGTGCCGTCAAACACTGAAACTAATTTCACATGTTGACAGGGGCATTCATGTCTTACAGACATTTTCTAGTTTTTAACATACTGTGTATATTTCCTGTTGTGCGGAAGAGAAATTCTCTGGTCACATCCATACACTTTGTTGGTACTAATCATCCAAGCACCCTATTAATTTAAATTCAATTTAAAAATCTTTGTTTTGATACCAATAGCTTATAAAAAAGATTTGTAATTATGTATAGAGATGGAAATTTGGGAAACTCAAATCTTCAATGTTAGATGTCAAAAGTACAATACTGTATACAGCTTGATTTCTTTAAAAAAAAAATCCCTTAAGGGAAAGACATGCTAACATAGAGATAATTATAAATTTATAAATTTAACATTATCGCAAAGATGTATTATTCATATCAAAGCATAAATTGCATATATATATATATTATTTATAAATTTTGTGTCCTTTTTATTTACCTGGTAAATACAGAAAACATTAAAAAAAACCACCAAAAAACCCCAAATGTAACTTTCTTTTACATCAGACGCAATTCCTTGCACAGTGGAAGAGAAAATGTACAGCTTGAAGAAATCCCCTTTGTGAAGGAGTGGCTGAAAGACCATCCTCGACCACCACTACCCCTGTCTTTGATATGGACAGAGGATGAGGCCGTCCTCATTATACAGTCCTACTGGAGAGGATATCTAGTGAGTTCTTCAACTGTTTTAAAAGATTTTGTTCCTGGTCACAGCACCAATATTTTGGATAGAAGACACATCAACGTTTGTCTTGTTTGAACTTTTTGTTTTAATTGAAACACTCACAGATAATCTGATTGTGATGTCACACAAAATGGACATTGGAAAGTTGTTGCAATAAAATGGAACATTTTACGGCACCGATAGTATGTAATGGACATTGAAATGGATTACTTTATTGTTGATAACGATTTTCAACATTTAGTAACTAGATGTGGTACTGTCTCCCACATGCATACAAAACATCATTGTCTTGGCACATAGATGACAGCTTCAGCAAAGTTGTTTGTGAAACTTAAAACTTTTATTCAGTAAAATCCACCTTCACTTGAACTAAGCCAAAGTCCTACTCCCCAAACCCACCCCACTTTCTCCCAGGGAGTTTTGGAACACAGATATTTGAGTCCTAGCCATGGACTCACAAACTTGTTTTATGAGGCTCAATACATTTTGAGAAACAACTATATTACATAGTATTGCGACTGATTAACATTTTGAAAAATGATGTTCAGAACTCGTCTGAAAGAAATCCTCAAAAAATAACTGGTCCTCCTTCCTCTGCAAACAAATCAAGCATCCTTCAAGTTATTCAACATTTGGAAGCAAATTTAAAAAAAAAAGGATTATAAGGATTGGAAATGATTTATATTTTAAAGCTGTAAATTTTATTTAACTTCAAGTTAAATCTGTTCTATCGTTATTGATTATTTGAAATAAAATATTTTTGTTTTTGAATATTTTACTATACTGTACAAAAATCAGACAGTGTAATTGAAACATTCATTTCTGGCTATTGGCTCTCTCCACCCCTGAAATATGTCATAGCAAAATTGAAGGCACGCAACTAGTTATTTGATTGGTCTTAGGTTTAAAACCCTGACCAATCGCTAAGGCTGATACATGTCTTTTGAAGATGATTACAAAGAAGCGACACCTGTCTTCAAAGCAAGTCAGTTTTACTGTTACCGACCTACAGATTCTTTTGAGGTACTTCAAAGGATCAAACTAGTCTTCTCATCTCATCCACAAGGTGGTGCACACTGAGCCTTCAATTTTGCTATGACATATTCCAGGGGTGCAGAGAGGGAAAGTGAGCCTAACTCGTGTATTACCAAGGATGGTAGCTGTGCAGGGAGCTTATAAGTGTTGTTTGTGTTGCAGGTGCGTCGAGAGCCAGAAGTCCAGGAACTTCGCCAGTGGCAGCGCGAGTGGAAAGAAGAAAACAGTAACATCTCCAGGCGTGTAAGCGACTTCTGGGAGAAAAAGATGCCCGATGGTGACAAGCCCACGCCAAATGCTTCAGAAGATGTGCTAACAGGGGAGGGAACTCCTATAACTGTACAGTCACCAACAAAACAGGCAGAAACCAAGTGATCAAGATGTCTAAAACAGAGACATTGTTATAATCTGTAACCAGCTATGAATGAGGACACAATATATAAATAACGAAGGAAAAATTCTCCATTTAAGTACAAATCTTGTTTGCAGTTTGCTATGTGACTGTTTTAACCCTTTCACCCCTATGTAACTTGAGTAAATTGTACCGTGCATTAATATGGATGAGTTCATTATGGTCTACAGTGGTGAGAGGGTTAAAGTTTGATCATAATAATACAGGTGATCGTGTGAATTATCTCCCTTGGGTTTTACACCTGTAATTTTCATATCTGTACCAGGTTATAGCAAAGGTACAGTACTTCATGCATCACTGAATCATTGATTGATAGTGTACGCAAGATCAAATTGAAATCTGAAAAAATTATTCCAGGAAAACATCCTTGTTGAATTCTAATATAAAATTGCATGCATTTTCTAAGAGATGTAAGTCACATTTTGACCCAGGGAAATTTTAAGGGTCATCTTCTTATTATATAAAGAGATATTCTTGGAAAAAATCCTTGTTGAGTTTTGCAGATGACATTGCATGTGTTTTCTGCTAGTTAATTTAACTGTCCTATTTAATATGTAAGGGAGCAGTTTGACCAATATTTTGGTCTAAGGATATTCAGGGGGTCATCCACTACTGGCTAGTGCCAGGAAGATTAAGATCTGTGATATTAACATGCATTGTATTACTAGTACATACGTGATGTACATACATTGATAATTTAAATATTTCGAATATTTATAATGTGAAATAGTTATTGTGAATATTATTATAAAATATATGTGAATACAAAAAGAAAAACAAAATATTGAACTTTGGTTTTTTGGGTTATTTATTAAGGCATAGACTCGAAGAGAAGGACATATGCTCTAAAAAAAATCTTTGATTGATTGAACACGGGAAACATTTAATAAGTTACATGTTTTTTAATTCTACTGTTTATCATCAGGTCACTCAGGGATCAATTGCGATGGCCTTTTGTCTGAGGTTGCGCGTTGCCCCTCCCGTTTAAAAAATCACATTCTCTACTTCTTCTCAGAAAGCATCTTGCAGATATTGATGAAACTTGATGGTAATCATCAGCCTGAGGTTGGGGATAAGAATTTATACCCAAGATGGGGCTGACCCCTGGCTGACCCCCATGAGGGCTGTGATGAGTGGGGTAAACCGGTTGTAAGGAGTCTTGGCTGTCAAACTTGCCTCATTAGGAGGGAGACTCCCTCATTTTTTACCAAACTCCCTCAAAAAATACCTCATTCAAGTCCAAATTCAAAATCTACATTCTGTGGTCAAAAGATCTCCTAGTTACTGCAGAGTGTGTGTAATGATCATAACAGGTATGTCTGAATCAAATGAATACTTTTTGGAGCTATTTTGATACATAAGGGGAAGACAAATTGAGCAAAGCAGTTTCGGTGGCGTTTCACCCATTTTTTCTCTCATAGGAAGTGTGGAAGGAGGGAGATCTCCCTCATTGGAGGTTTCAGAGGTTGACATCTATGATGAGTCAAAGAGTAGAAAACGTTCAAAAGACTTCTACTTTGAAACCGATAGGTCGATTTTCACCAATCAGGGGTCCATAGTCCTAGACTAGTAGATTTCAGCAAGGACTAGTGAATCGTCTAACCTAACTGGTCCTTTGATGAGAAAAAAATGGTTATTACTTTCTAAAATGTAGAAAACTGCATGATAGTTGTCAAGATTTTCCTAAAACTTCCCCACATTTTTATGGCAGTAGTTATTTTCAATCCCCTATAGTCGATTACTTTAGATTCCTTATCAGGAAATCTTGGACTAGTTACATTGACAAAGGACTAGTAAATAATCTATTCAACTAGCTACGCCCCTGAGTCCTGTGGACTACCAAGCAAAACAAAAAAGTTCGTGTCTATCCCTGATCAACATGTCATATATGATGCTTAGATAATGAGGATCACAATTCATATTCAAGAAGGGGCTGAAACCCAAGGGGGCTCAATATCGTTTATTGAATAACCTTAGATATAATAAAAACAAAACACATTTCTCTGTACCAAACACATATTTTACTTTTCCAGCTGAGAAAAAAAATCGGAGAAATTATGTCATAATGCAAGTGTGACGTCGCAAAGTATCATGATGTCACTCCACGTGACGTCATTTCATGTGAGAGATAGAGAGAGAGAAATAGGCAGCCAGTTAAAGAAGTGATGTAACATCAAACAATTGAGGAGTCACAAATGTAAAGATGTCATTCAAATGCCAAAATTGGTAGGAGAAGAATCGATTTCATGGTTGCTGACGTCACAACGAAGTTTACGCAAAAAGTGTTCATTATAATTATTATAATATGAAGTTTGAATGGAGCCGGATACAAAACATTGAAGTCTACACCAGCAACGATAAGATCATCAGACCGGGAGATACACGCAAACAATAGAGATGATATTGTTGGGCAAATATAGTGCAACCATTTACAGTATCAAATATTATGTTCAATAAACCTAAAAAAACTAGCATATTATCACATAGCCTATCCGTGAACAGTCTCTCCCATATATCATTTACATACCCATCAGCCCCTAAGTATTGCGGGGACTCAAATCCGGGCATTATACTATAATTGTGAATTTGTCTTTTTCGTATTTATGTTATATATGTTTGGTTTTGGTTAAATCCATTCGTAAAGTATGCTACAGATTTGTACATAAAAAATCTTTATTTTGATTAAAATTACAGAATATAGCGGAGAAAAGGAAACAAAATTCAATCTTGCACATGTTCCTTATTTAATTTACATAAAAAGGCATTTGTCCGGATGGTACTGATAGCCAGGACCTTGCGTCCGGAGTCCGGATACAAACGCACCCGGCCTTCCGTCATTGGGTCCTCCCACTTTTCACAAAGCCCTACGGAACTTCTTCCGGAACTTCAGCCTCTCCCGAGTGTCCGTAGGGGTGTATAATGCTAACGGATGTGACCGTAATCTTATTGGGCGAATGCTGCAATGACAGTAAATCCACTATATAGCGAAAATCAGGATAACTTGCTATGATATTGTTTTGAACTCCCATCAAATGAATATCCGGTTTCACCCGACGTCCGGATACACCAAACCCCGCTCTATTATCTATATAGGCCCAGGTCTACTTTCAAAACGGCAGGTAAGAAAGAGCGGTAACTCTCACTTGCTTTACTGTTGAGATGTTAATAGAGTGCTGAAATGGACGGAAACTAGTGTTCGACCGCTTCGCCCCAGGACAGACAGCGTGTTTATGTTCATAATGAAATTAATGAATCATACCGGTCAGACGGTATTGCTACAGATTGTAAATAAATAATCTACACTTACGCTGTGTAAGATACATAGCTGTTAATCCCGTCTACAAGTAGGAGAACTGTATATATATATCCAGAAGAACAATATTTACTGGAAGTATTAAATTCACTGTCGGTAAATAGAAGAAACTATAAAAACGGGTCACCCTTGAAAATACGAAATGGTTGAATTCACTGATACGGACGCACGGGGAACTTGTAACAGGCGTGTTTATAACTGGTAAGTAAAAGTTTTGTTTTTATTCTTGTTCGGATAATATTTGTAAGACGCGACCTTGGTGCTCTGGGGGTGTAACCGGATATATCTAGATCCTTGGTGGATTGAGATAGATACTGTTTGCGTCCTTGCTTACCAAGGGTGGCGAACCATACCTCTCGTATGTGACTTGGTAAGCGGATATGTATGGTGGCATATTGTGCCATTTCTTCTCAGAACACGAAGGCGAAGAAACAAAAAGACGAAGAATTGAAAGACGAAACAAAATTAAGGGGACGCTACTTAGCGCCCTGTTATTTATGTTCGTCTCTTGGTTTCTCTGTCTGGAGAGGCGACGCAACGACGGAACGGCACACGAAGACGACAGGACGATAACTATCGTTCCTTTGCACCCTTTAATCACGAAATAGAAGAGACGAAATGCCGCAAATCAGTCGGCCACCATACAAATCAGCCACCATAAAGATGCTATACATGTATACCAATTGGCTATCTTTATTCTCGCTAATTATGTGAATTAATGACTAGATATGATGAAAGGAATTACCTATTTAAAAAAATCAAGCTGCAAAAGGGCTGCAGTGGTCAAGTGGTTAAGGCGTTTGACATTCTGCTACCACTAGCCCTCCACCACTGGGTCGCGGGTTCGAGACCTACAGCGCCCTGTAGGGTTCGAGACTGGCAGTCGTCAGGTACTGGACGTAGGTTTGCGGTGGTTTTTCTCCGGGAACTCCGGCTTCCTCTATCACCAAAACCTGGCACGTCCTTAAATTGACATAACTGTTAAAAGGACATCAATCACAAACAAACAAAATATCCAGCTTCAAGGTTAAAGCCAACTTTTGGGACTGATAGTCTGTCAGCAGTGTCAAACACCTGGGCCTGTATTCATGAAACCTGGTTGTTGCCATTTCTCTAATTGCTGAACGCTAAGGAGATTATACATTTGTAACAACTGCCTTTTTTAAGGATCTCGGTTTGCCCCGGCCTGGGAACAGAACCCATTTTCTTCCTCACCTTGGTGAACATTCAACATTAAAGCAAGAGGAGAGATATTTACCAAGTATGACGTTAGAAAAAACGAGTCAGTTAGAAGTAAAGAGAAATGTTATGAGACCATTTTGAGACGTAGGTGCAAAAAGTCAAGCCAAGTAAACATTTACTTCACCATAAGTATGTCGCCTTCGTCCATTTAGGACCTGTAGGTGTGTTCATAAACCTTGTGGAAGGAAACTATTTTCCTTTAAAAAAAATACAAACACAGTTTTATCTTCATATTAAAAGGCTGTCCACGGCGGTTGGTTCTAGTTCAACCAGGTAGCTTGAGCAAGACACGAGATGAAATCGAGGAACGAGTGCCTTTAAAGAGTCATTAAAGGAATAAAGGGTGACAGTGTTTCATCACAGTGTCAAATGAGCAAGGTTCATTAAGACATGTTTGGTAGAATAATGGTGAGTGTGCTTTGTAGAATAATGATGGTACATTTCCACGCGGACTTTTTAATTTGTCACGTTACAGATTAGATATTGGATTATAAGCGTGAGAAATATTTGTGAAATATGGAATCCAGGAATCTATTACAGCACAAACCTACAGTATAATAGAATATTAAAAATATTATGAAGTTTGAAAAAGAAATACATGCCTCCTATTGTGACATTTTATTCAGTTCTGAAGTATCTAAGATAAACACGGTTGCGGATTTGTGACATTTCATTGTTTCGTTTTTAGACGAGAATTAACAAATCTAAATTATCGTTTCGTTTTTTCGCCCCGAAAAGACAAGAATTAACTAATCTAAATTCTCGTTGTTTGGTTATTTATCTCGAAAAGACGAGAATTAACAAACCTTAATCCTCTTCTTTTCGTCTTTTATTTAAAAAGTTAAGAAGTTATTAAAAAGGTGGTAGCACAAATCAGACAACGTAAAGACGTTTCAGCAAAAATGTGTTTCGTCATTCACAAGTCATTGTTCAAGGATCCCAATGATTTGACCTTTGACCCTTCTTGATTTTAGTGTATATGTCTTGTTATAATGCACTTATCAATGAATTTTAATGAATACATGATAAACCGTTCTGAATTAATTGTTCTGACTTTGAGCAATTTTAATGGTCGCTACATGATTTCATTAGGGATTTTTCTGAATGGTCTGTTTCCTTGTTCGGTGTGTTTGGAGTATGCTCATTCGTGTGACCTGTTGTTACGTATACGTTGTCACTCGGTTGAAGGACTTGATATTGCTAGGATTTTACACGATTTTACAGGTGTCGTCGATGAAGCAGAAGACGCGTACCCTTGCGTAACACATGGTCTTAACTTACTTTTACCTTTTCGATGGTCTCCACGTACAGTTCTCCTTAGTTTACATTTTGCCCTAGTTTTATCGATTTTGAGTTCGAATTACGTCTTTATTGACAGATCGATATTTCTCTTGATGTTTTTTCCCCTTCTAAACAGTGCCTAAACAGGCTTGACCTTTGACCCTTGACTTTTTGTTATATCTACGCGGAAAGCGCGGATACGAAAGTGTTACTCATAAGTAATGTTATTGCTCAAGACAAACACAGAGAATGACATTTTTGTATTGACATTGCTTTGACCTTGACCTTGGGGGGACCTGGACCAGGGATAAAGACGCTTTTTTTTTACGGCTAGTTATGATATAGCCGTTTTCATAAAATATTGTTCAGTTGTTCCAAAGCTATTTCACATGCAGCCAGACAATGTAATGAACTGACCTCTGACTTTTTGCCGTTACATAGATTTTTGGATCTTGGACCTTGGAGCATAATGCCATATACTTCGTCTAGTTACATATGATACATCTGTCTACGAATTTGCTTCGAAAAATGTCGAGCCATTTAAATGTTTTGGTCTTGGTATTGATTTTAGATACTAATGTCTTTATATATGACTCCATTCCGTGACAAGCTATGATAGACTATATGATTTAATACAATTATCTAAGACGCGAAACACTTTTGTACAACTTATCATTGTTTATGTACTTGCATTGGGTTTTTTATAAGCTTAATCAAATAAGGAAACGAAACGAAACCATGATGCAGCTTGATAATATGTAGTCTCATGAAGCTTAACCCCTTCGCGTCATTCGCATTTATTACACCAGCATGATTTGAACTTTGACCTGTTGCTATGAACTTGAGCTTTGGGGTACACGTGTTACAGAAATTGTTATTGTTTGTTTGGCTGTAAACAAAAATGTAAATAAAAATACTGCCTACTTCATATAATTTGTACATCATAAGACGTCATCCTTGGAAACATAGTCTCAAGTACAATATCCCAATATATCCAACATGCTTACTTTTAGTAAATAGATCTACATGTATGTCAAATTTGCATTCCATTTTGGCATTTTCTCAGATCTCTAATGACCTTTTATATCGTTGGTGGTTCAGAATAAAGTAAACAAATACATACTGTATATATATGTTTGCTGTTTCGACTGTTGTTCCAATACCTATCTAGCATCACAATTAGTGTTGACTGATTGCTGATGTCGATTTCATTTCCGAACGTTAATGTTAATATGTTTATTTATCTCTATTTGTCTGATCTACGTGAATATGACATGTTATTTGTTTGCCAATGTATTGTGTCTGTGATATTGTAAGCTATCCTTTAAGATAACAGTGATCGATCGGGGTGTTGATTGCGTAACAATGTAAGCAAAACACTATAATGGAGAAATATTACGTCGCTTGATAATAATCTCTGGACGACAAACACTTGTTTGCGATGTAGATATAGTCAGGCACATTTAAAGCTTTATTTACCTTTTAATGACAACAAGAAATGCAAACACGACTTAATGAAACGGCATGTATCAACTGGATACATTAGGAGGCACGGTAGTCTAGTGTTAGGACGCCGGGCTGGTGACCGAAGGGTTGCGGGTTCGAGTCACGGCATGGTACTGTATTGTATCTGTTTCAGTCTACCCAGCTGTAAATGAGTATATAGCGCGGCAGTGCTAGATTTGTTGGATGCTAGCTGTGAGCGCTGAAATGGCAGCACCGGCTGTATGCTCCCCAGGGAGTTGCGAAAAATGCTTTGAGACAACCTACGAACTATGTTGTGAGAAAGCGGTATTTAATAACCTTAAAATATCATTATCAACTGCAACTGATGTTTATTTACTCACAAACACATGTACTGTGTAACTCTGATCCACTTAGGTCCAGTGGATCACGAGGTTTACTCCTCCACCTCGCCTTCGTCCACATCATCGTCATCCTCCTCCTGTCCCCTAATCGACTGTAAAAATCTGGTATATTGATCTTTTAGTAGACATTCATATATCTCTTGTTTTACGTTTTTGTTCTCAAGGATAAAGAGTGAATAATTTATTGTCAGATTAATGGGGCTTTTAGATGTCATTTTGTGTTTATGATTTGAGTTTTTTCCGTGATGGCATTGTAGTATAGCTTTTAAACTGACACTACTAAAAGTAGACATGACTCACCTCACGATGAAGTACTCAAGACCTAAAAAATGAGGGTTTTTTTTTACAGCCGAACCTAACGTTTGTGGCTTTATTCCACGTACCCTAAGTAAAGATCTATCTGGACCTTAATGACTGAAATTGTCGGTGCGTCGTAAAACAATACAATAAAAAATATTTATTCTATTGAACCCATATAAAAATATGAAATAATATTCAAATACTCCTTAGTTTTTTAACGATGAAACCAGAAACACACATTGTATTTTTAAGTCCTACGAATGTGACTCTATGAAAAATAGCTTCTAAAATGGCCTTTAAGAAGTAGATATGGTTCATGATGTGCCATTTCAGCGTGATGGCATTAGCACTGAGATGGACCAACAAAATGTGGACACAAGCCATTAATGATGTGTCATTTCAGCGTGATGGCATTATGTCAAAGCCCCTTAAGTTGGCCCCTCTAGAAATGGACACCAGCCGTTAATGATGTGTCATTTCAATGTTATGACACTTGCCACTCTTGATAGC